TCCTTGATGACATTTCTCCGAGTCACGATTACCACTTTTCTCGACGTTCAGCAGATAAATACAGGGTTACACGCGAAGTAGAACGGATGGTTGGGAAATAAATGTGAGGTAGAAAGCGAGGTAGCTAGAGCTAAATTTCGTTTTTATCCGGCTTCTTGAGACGGAAGGTTGTGTAGAGGTGGGATTCCCAGCATGCCTAATGTCTACGTGGGCGAGAATTCTGGAGCGTAGTCTGTAGTGTTGATTGCTTCGGCAAATTCCACTTTCCATTGGGATTTCTGCAATTGCATATCATTAGCTACAGTAAACCGCATCAATTTAAATTTGCTTATGGTACTTGCTAATTTTTTCATTTCTCCCCCTACTCCTATTCGTTACTCAACGAAAAAGGTAGGCAATAATTAAAATCCTTCTAACATTTGTGGTTTCGCATTGTCATTCAACATTGAAAATTTCATTGATACTGCTATTTGACGACAACTGCTAGCCACCTTTGAAATAAATAATCCACTTCCATAAATGGTTGGATTTACGCAAAAAATAAGATATTTTTATGTCAAAGGACACTTTATCTCACTTACCCATTTGCAATATCCTGCTTGTTATCGCTAATTTCGTTCTCCACTTTATACTTTCTCCCTCCTATCATATAACTTTTGTAAATATATAGTATATCGCAACCTTAACCTTTTCCCTTTTGCATTGAGAATTCGTAATAATGCTTCTTGATGCCGCTTAATGACGTCACATTCGGCCAGAATGTGTGGGCTGGAGTTGTCGAGGCTCTTACTCATGATAAACGTTTTTTAGTCGGGTCTATAATGTTTGAGTATTTAAAATACTGACAGAGATAAGTGAGAGGGCTTGAACTGTTTTCGCCAACATGTAGCCCATCATTATCGCAAGAGTGGAATTTTAGAACATTTGTAAAAATATTTCTTGAGGAATGTAAGATCCGTTTAACCACATAGAATGTCATGAAAAGTGTCTTTTTTCTTCGCTCTAGCTATGATATTTTAGCTGGAGAACAATGTTTGTGTCTGCATTAAGATTTTAAATACACCCACTAGACAATTTGTCATTGGAAAGTTAGTCCACTTTGATAATTGTGATTTGCACTTGTTTTTCTTGTTTCTTCCTCCTTTGATTAAGATTTAACCAGTGGATAACGGAGGTCTCGCAGATGTTTGGCGGTCTCGATATGTGCGCTATCAAGGTTCTTCAGAACAGCACAGGAGACTATTTCATCCAGGATGTAAGTCCCTCGAACATTTAATATATTATCCTGTAATATTTTCCAGTCAACCCTTTAGTGAATGCAGATTATTGTATTAATGCAGACAACTCAACCAAGGCTCTGGACTTTTACATATTTTCGCTATTACTATTGAAAGTGGAATAATTTTTTTCATTTTAGATTTTAAGGCCATTTAAACCTGCTTTTAAAACATTCATGCTATTAATTTTGAAGGACCTATAAAATTAGACGCTTAGCTCCAGAAAGAGTTCCCTTTATAAAAAACGAAATTGAAAATACTGAGATACACGCCGGCCTTTGAAGTTGATGAGGTTTACAGTAGCCAATGGAATGTAATCGCAGAAATCCCAATGGAAAGTGGAATTTGCCGAAGCAATCAACACTACAGACTACGCTCCAGAATTCTCGCCCACGTAGACATTAGGCATGCTGGGAATCCCACCTCTACACAACCTTCCGTCTCAAGAAGCCGGATAAAACCGAAATTTAGCTCTAGCTACCTCGCTTTCTACCTCACATTTATTTCCCAACCATCCGTTCTACTTCGCGTGTAACCCTGTATTTATCTGCTGAGCGTCGAGAAAAGTGGTAATCGTGACTCGGAGAAATGTCATCAAGGG